CAAATGTTTTGTGTTATTGAGGGGTTGAAGGGCATATGGCTATAAATAAAGAGAAGAAAGACAAAATTGTATAAATATAATGACAAAAAAGTGAAGGATGCATCCAGTTGGTCCTGTCTTTTTATTCTCTTTTTGTTTTTTCTTACACATATTCTGATTCTTACCAACGTTTACTTGAAGTTTTTGATATCGGTTGAAAGAATTCAAAAAGATTTGTTTTTATTGATTCACAATCAATTGGTTTGTAGTATATACACTTAAGTAAATTATGTTGAGGATCATTTACATTGTTCTGTTCCTTAAATTAATGAAGATGATGATGATGCTAAAAAAAGAGATAGAATAACTCATATCAAATTCAAATGTTTTATCAAAAGAAAAAGAATTTAAATGTTCAAAATATTTTGAAGTGTGGGTAATGTTTCAAATATATTATTCAATATTTTCTTTATTCAGATTTAGTATGAGCGGATGTGTATAAAGTTATAACAATGTACACAAAAATAAATACGCAAAAAAAAAGTTTTAAAAATATACATAAAACATTTCTTAACTAAAACCGGCATTAATAATTGAAATTGGTAGTCCTTTAACTCCTTAATGCAAAACCGTGTTTCTTCATGTAAGTGGTCTCCTCAATATCCCCTCCTTCTCCAAGTCTGGTTGGTCGGTTTGGAATATGTCCACGTGGCAGCAGATCATTGGCTGCATGGAGGAACGAATCTTGGGTTAACCAATAGAAACTGGTTTCAAATCTTTATTTTTGGCGGCGCTTCTAACTGAAATTAACTGTCTTCCTTTGTATTCCCACTTGCGAATCCTTCGTGATTGCCGCCGATCAATATACCATCTTATAATTACTACTATATATAGTCAATCTCTTTTGCAAATAAAAATACATATGTGGAATCATGTCTCATTTAGTTACTGCAACTGTTTTTTCTTTTCTTCCCATACCCCGGCGCATAATAATTGATAAAAATACATTGCAAATTGTTTTTGTTTTTTGCTAACTTGAAGTTTGTAGTTAAATCTCGGCATAATTAAGCTGTGATCTACCGTACGTGTTAATTAGGTTGATCATCGATCTTTACATGAAATATTTGTGTTGATGTCTTAAGAAATATTAGTGTTTAACCATTTTTCTTAAGAAAATATCTTGTACCTCTCTCTTCCTGATAAAATTTGTCAATATTGTCATCCTTAATTATTGCCTCGCCACAACATACTATGATATTTTTCTTGTACCTTTTTGTTTTGTTTTTGTTATACAAGGTACATATAACGTGTTCATCTTTAATCATTAATTTGCTGTTATTTGTTCATTTTATAAAGTTTTTTTGGGTTGGTTTGGTAATCATGGCTCCTATATTTGTGTTTTTTTATTCATAAGTTATTCTTCCGTATTCCTAGTGATTATAAACGACATATGTAAGAACTAAGAACTTGGTTACCAAAAAAAAAAAGACATGTAAAAACTTATTTTTGGAGTACGTTTTAATACTGCCCAAATCCAATAGTAATTTTTACTCGTATCATATTGCACGTATGTTTTTTCATTTTTTGTAACTATGAGAGTATGATATATGCCAAACGAGGAAGAGACACCAGCTCGCTCATTCATGAACATGATGATGATATACACGC